CAAATAAATAAATAAAATCTTTAAAAAAAAAAAAAAGAAATCTGTTATGCAACTGTAAGAAATAACGTTGGATTCATCTTATAGTGTTGATGCTGCATATTAACTTTTAGTATTTTAAAATAATACTAAAAATATTGTATTCTGTTAAATAGACAAATTAGGAGCTTCATGCTATTTTGATGATTAGTTACATGATCTTCATCCTTAGGCTGAATTAAACATCACATAATTGTCTTTTAAATCCTTACCCATTAAAAAGAAAAAACTGACTAAATGTGTTCTAGAGGGGAAAAAAGGATAATTCTGTTCGACCTAACAGTTCCTATTGAAACAATAATACTTTACCACAATAATATTTGTATACCACAGAAGAGAACATACTGAAGTAAGAGAATGTATAAAAAAAGAGAACACATGCTTTTTCAAGATGTCGGATTTTAGTAGATTTGAAACTTCTTTCTTTTTATATGTAGATTTCTTTATTTCAAGTCAAGAGATCTAATTAAAGAATCACTTGTCAACAGGCATTCTGTGCATCTTATCACATGCAAATTTATAGACTAATATTGTTGAGCATATTCAGCTTCCAGAAATGCAGTTTGGGTTTTGTTAATAGAGATACAGACTAAATATATTTAAGTATGTCATAGAATATATTGCAGAGTAGGCTTAGAATCTGTTTTAAAAGACTATACCCATAGCGGATGTGGTTGCATCATCACTCACAGTAGGCTTGGGTAATGAAATTGACCATAGTTCTGGAGTCTGCATAGAGGCTTATTTTTTTCAGTTTTGAATACTTGCTTTACAACATTGGGAGATGATCCCTTCCATATTCAAGTGTTTATATTGCATAAGTAAGAAACTTTGTTAGCAAATCAGTCAAGGGCTCTGAAAAAAATCATTTTTCTTCGCTTTCTGCAGAGGATAAAAAACAAGTTCCATGTAGACGAAGGAAGTCTGTATCTCTCACTTTAGCTTATTTGCTTGTTGCCCTTTTGTCATTTTCTTAGAATTACCTTCATGAGTGAATTATAGCTATGGAAATAACCCCTATGTCTGTCATTAAATATTCTTAGAAATCTTGTTATTGGTGAGTTATTAAGCACATCCCACAGGAACTATACAGGTGGCTGGATACCTGACCAAAGCCATATTGGTGTTTAATAAACCATAACTATGACTGAAACTGTCATAATATATTATGCAATTATAATCTTTTGTAGTGATTTAAACTTCAGGGCAGTAAACTTTTAGAGCTAAAAGAAAACCACAGGGGGGGCGCCTGGGTGGCTCAGTTGGTTAAGCGACTGCCTTCGGCTTAGGTCATGGTCCTGGAGTCCCTGGATCGAGTCCCGCATCAGGCTCCCTGCTCGGCAAGGGTCTGCTTCTCCCTCTGACCCTAACCCCTCTCATGTGCTCTCTCTCATTCTCTCTCTCTCAAATAAAGAAATAAAATCTTAAAAAAAAAAGAAAAGAAAAGAAAACCACAGGGATCACTAGCCAAGCCTTTTATTTTCGGTATGAAGAAACCTATCCAAAGCAGCCAGGCTAACCAGCAATCTATGATTTCAGCTAATTAACTGCAGAGCCAAGACCAGAACTTCTCTTTTCTGATTCCCAATGGAACATGTTCACTTCTCAGAATACTTTCTTTAGAGAAATTCTGCTTAAAAAACATGAAAATATGGACACGTTAAGTATACCAAAAATTCTAAAGGCCTATTAGAGAAACATAAAAGTATAAATTATCATAAATTTGACCTAAGATCAATATATTAGCAAAATTGAATATGATTTAATTCCTTGCTTTTGTCATTGATCTATTTATTTTGCATTCTGAAAATGGCTCAGTTAAGCTTCTGCCTTTAAGCTCAGGTCACGATCCCAGGGTCCTGGGATTGAGCCCCATGTCGGGCTCCCTGCTTAGCGGGGAGTCTGCTTCTCCCTCTCCTTCTGCCCCTCCTCCCCGCTTGTGCTCTCTTTGTCAAATAAATAGATAAAATCTTAAAAAAAAAAAAAAAAAGACTGATTTAGAAGGCTTAGGTCATTTTTCTTTAAGCTATGAGGGAAATTTTGATGTGTTGCCTTTTATTCACTTACGCTAGCATAAGTTTTCCAGTGCATACCCTCATTACGTAGATTAGAATGTTTAAAAATAGCTATTGTGATATCTAAGTAATTGAAGTCTTGAAGAATCTTAGTTGCAGGGAATTACCGCTTTGCTAATCAGTGTCTTCCACAAATCAACAGCATCAGAATCACTGTAGAATTTGTTAGAAAGGCAGAATCTCAGCTTCCCCTTCCGGAGACCTAGACCTACTGAATCGGAGTCTGTGTGCGAACAAGATCCTGGATGATTCAGATATGCCTTAGGATTTGAGAAGCACCAATGTAGAGTTAGTAATCTCAGAACCTGTTTCTACTTGATGTCATTTTCTTGTCTCTTTCTTCCTCGCCTTTCTTTTTGTGTCCTGCTGCCCAACTTCCCCAAAAGAAACATAAAAATATCAGTGTGTGCTTTAATAAGCAAAAGGAAGTTCAGGTCAAAAGTGTGTAGAAGGGAGGCGCCTGGGTGGCTCAGTTGGTTAAGCAACTGCCTTCAGCTCAGGTCATGATCCCAGAGTCCTGGGATCGAGCCCCCCATCGGGCTCCCTGATCGGCGGGAAGCCTGCTTCTCCCTCTCCCACTCCCCCTGCTTGTGTTACCTCTCTTGCTCTTTCTCTTTCTCTGTCAGATGATTTTAAAAAAATGTTCCTATGTTCAAAATTCCACGGTATATCCAAGGATGTTTGGGGTGATTGAAAGCGGCTCTGCTCCCAAAACTGAGGCTGTGTAACTACATTGAGAAGTGAAATACAGGAGTTAATTACACAGTGTTGACTTTACAGAGGGTGAGCCACAAAGCATCAAAAGCAGGGACTGCCTGTTCCAGTTAAGGACAGAGAACAGCAAAGGATATATTATTGGTTATGTAATCTGGGAACCACTGTGAATAACAGGCATTGTGAGGCAGATGAGAAAAATGGTTGTGATTAAAAGCAAAGTAAAACACCAAATCCAAGCCTCCATCTACAAAGATGATTCTAGTGAGATTTTCTTCTAGTGAGTGATGGATTGAATGTCTAGTGTAGTGATTAAGAGCTTAGACTGAGCTAAAACTTTCTTGGTTCAAGTTCCAGCTCATCTACTTCTTGGCTCTGTCGCTGTGGGCAAGTTACTTAACCTCTAACCTCTTCAACTGAAAATTGAGAAAACAATAGTACCTACCTCATGGGTTACTGTAAATAGCAAACAAGAAAATATATGTACAAAATACTTGACACAGTGTCTGAAACATAGTAAGGACTCAGTAAGCATTAGAGTGTATTTGTTCATTTGCTTATTTACTCATTCATTAAGGTTTTTCTCATCAGTTTCCCTTGTGAACAATAGCATTATTTTATGTGTCTCTTCTGGGATTTGGCTGTGGTTTGTGGCCATGACAGACAGCAATAGCTCTTTTTAAGGAAATTCTCTGGGCTAAAGAGTGAGTGTCTGTTGATCACCTCTGGGATAATGAGTGCTAGGCTGGGTCTGATGGTGGTTATGATAGTGGCAGAGAGTATAATGAAAGAAAAAGAGAGATATCATACAATCCCTTGAGGTACTTAGATTCTGAGTGGAAAGAGATGAAATACCCACATACATGGGAGAAAAACCCAACAGATGATTTTTAAAAAATGTTCCTATGTTCAAAATTGCATGGTATATCCAAGGATGTTTGGGGTGATTGAAAGGCAGCCATCAGCCTCGGTCATTAACACCTGTCATTTTCTTCAGGTGTTTTCTACAAAGAAGGAGGAGAAAAGGGAACTATTATATCTATTAGGTAAAACTGTAGTGTGACAAGCATAGACATTTAAACAGACTTTTGAATCTTGATTTAGAAGCTGACTAACCATGGGAGGGCAGACTGAGAAACTGCTAAAATTGCTGCCGGCCTCGACCTCATTGTGGTTATATGAACACAGGGGGCAGGCAAGAGGGGTGAAGTTCCGGAGGGTGCTTATCAGATAATGTTCTATAAGTTCATTGTTCCACGTTAGGTTGACTACTTTGTAATGCTTTTGAAGGAATTCAGGCTTTGGAGGAAATAGAAAAGTAGAGGAACTTTATAAGTGCTCAATAAAGGGGCCATAAATTAGGTGTTGCGATGAAACATAGATCTTGAAGGATTCTCCATCTTGAGGAACTCAGGAAGAAAGGTGGCTTAGAAATAGTTGTGTGGGGACGCCTGAGTGGCTCGGTCAGTTAAGTGTCTGCCGTCAGCTCAGGTCATGATCTCAGGGTCCTGGGATCGAGCCCCACGTAGGGCTCCCTGCTCAGCGGGGAGCCTGCTTCTTCCACCCTTCCCCCCGCTTATGCTCTCTCTCTGAAATAAATAAGTAAAATCTTTTTAAAAAATATATTTTAAAAAAGAAAGAAATAGTTTTGTAGAAACCAGTGTTGTTCCTTGTTCTCTGTCCCCTGCTGCTGTCTGCCTGTTCTGAGCAGTTTTAGAAAGTTGCTTCTGTCTGCAGGTCTGGAGGGAGTGGACGAGGAGGGAAGAGATTTGGGCTGGGGAGAGCAGGGAATGGGTGGAGTTGGTAGCAGGAAGGCAGTCAGTGGCATTATACTAATATTTTGGGTAAATAAAAAGACGCTGAAGGAGGGTGAGGGCCAGGATAGTAGGGGCAGAGGTAGAGATGGTTTTTAAAGGTCACTTTGAAACAGTCTATCATGGACATCTTTAAAATGGGGGTGCGGGGACACTGTTTAGGAGTAAACACCCATGGGCATCCTCTAATTCCAGAAACAAGTGAAAATCAGCATCTGTCAGGGGATGGGTTAAACATTGTACAAGGGTCACTCAGAGTCTAGCTAATACTTTTAGTCTGGAATCCCCTTCAGATGTTTGGTTCATAGTCTCTGATGCTTTGTCTAATCTGACTTTCTTTCTTTGTGCTTCTTTTCCACAGCACGCATGTATCCCAAGTCAGCAATGTTTCGACAACTGGAGAGTAAGTTATTTGGGTTTCCCTTTCCCATTTATCGAACAGAAAAAAAGCTACTCTAATGGTGTGTAGTATTGGAAGATTAATACAGTAAGCAACTTATGATGATTTTTAAAACCACTGAGAGAAGAGGACTAAATAAGAAGTGTTCGTGTTTGAGTTTCTGCGTGGGTGTGTGACTAGAGACAGCTCAACCATTTGAACATGCGAGATTTTTGTTTCAGTCAAAATAATGTCAGAGTTTATTAATGTTTGCAAAATACGTGTTTAGGGAGGTATCTTAGAGTGGAAGACGCTATTAAAGGTTAAAGTAGTAACAGTGTCTTTACTTCTTCCTTCCTTATTTTTAATCAGCCTACATTTATTGAGTACCTGCAATATGCCAACATAGTGTTAGGTGTGTAATGTCAACTAAGCCTCGGGCTCTGCCATCAGGGACTTTACAGTCTAAGAGGGACACAGAATCAAAAGCAAATTAGTGATGGCAACAAGTCCTTTATCCACAGGGCAGGACAGTGCTCTACTGATGATGCCAATCATGTATCTCTTTCCTCCTAAGGCTACCAACTGGACTAAAATCCAAGCTCCAGTTACCTATCCTTGCCTCCCTCTCTGACCACATTGCTCATCATCCTTCAAGCACATGACATTCTGTTTCTGGAATAGGCCAAGCTTATAGTTGCCCCAGAGCCCTTGCACTGGCTGTTTTTCAGCCTGGCCATTCATTTTCATATCATTCACTTTTTTGTTCAAATGTCCGCTCCTCCGAGAAGCCATCCTTGACTATCCGCCGTCCTTCTCCTATCCTGTACAACATTTTGGAGAGAATTTATCACTTTCTGAAATTTCAGGATTTGTTTATTACCTCTCTTGCCTCACAGCAATGTAAGCTCCATAAACATGGGGACCTTGTTTGTCATATTCATGGCTGTATCCCTAACACCTAGAAAAGTGCCTGGTGTATATTAGGCACTAAATAAATATTTGTGAATAGTTTCTTGCTCGAAGATTTTCCTTCACACACACCTCTCTTCCTTCCTTGCTAAGATGTAAATGGGCCTTTTTAGCGCATCTTCCATCAAGAGGGATCAGGAGGAAGAGGAGGAAAGATGTGATAAGGAGGAAGAGAGGATAATTTAAAGAAGCACTGAGTAGGATGAATTTGTATCTAATAGGATGAATTGGGATTTTTTTTTTCCTTCTTTGTAAGGTGAGGAAGCAATGAGAAGGCAGGACTGACCTCTCTTAGCTTTGTGAATTTTAAAGTGATTCCAGAATTGTACCAAGACTGATACGTTCTTTCTTGTGTATTTCCTGATAACCTTTACTTCTTATAGGTCTTGTATAGTTTGGAAAAGGTGTGGAGTTAGTTTGTATGTATACATTAATTCACTCACATTCCTATAGACCACAGTTAGGTAATCTTGAATCATTGGGATGTGGAGTTCTAAATATAAAAACTCTTTGTTTTAAAGATTCATTTATTCATTCATTCATGCATTCATTTATTTGTTGGGGTGAGAGGGGGAGAGGGAGACAAAGTCTTAAGCAGACCCTGTGCTGAGCACACAGAGCCCAACTCAGGGCTCAATCTCATGACCCTGAGATCACAACGTGAGCCGAAACCAAGAGTTGGACACTCAACCAATCGTACCACCCAGGTACCCCTAAATATAGAAGTTCTAATGCCCAAGTTAGACTACACTTGTTCATTGTCTTCAAATAGTTTTAATGAGATTACCATGTGTCTATTATAAAACTACAATTGGAAACTCTTAAACTTCTTAAATTTTTCAAAACCCATCTTATTTAAGTGAATGTATTTCTTAATCTGAACATTTTAAAAACAAATGTGGTTCTTTTTAAATTTTTAATAGCTTTATTGAAGTATAATTAATATACAAAGAACTACACATACTTAATGTCTACAGTTTGATGAGTTTGGATGTGATTCTTTTTTCAAGTGCAGGAAGACATGGTTTGAGGAGTATATGTTTAGAATTTTCCATGCCAGCTCATTCAGAATTAAATAACGTGGTGATAAAGGAAGGCTTAGACACATTAAAAGATTATATAGCTTTCATAAGGATACCCTATCTATCTCACCATGCACTCTTCAGCCCCTGTGCTTAAGTATTTCCTTATGTTAAATGAAGTAAATCTATCCTGCCATCTTCAGTAACACATATTGGGATGTTTGCATGATAACAGCTTCAATTATATACATCACAATGTAATTGCATAGAGGTTCAGAAAGATTTTGCTGTTCGAAATAGTGATTGTTCTGGTGAGGTGTTCCTTTTTTTTTTTTTTTTTTTTTTAAAGATTTTATTTATTTATTTGAGAGAGAGAGAATGAGAGAGAGCAAGCACATGAGAGGGGGGAGGGTCAGAGGGAGAAGCAGACTCCCCGCCGAGCAGGGAGCCCGATGTGGGACTCGATCCAGGGACTCCAGGATCATGACCTGAGCCGAAGGCAGTCGATTAACCAACTGAGCCACCCAGGCGCCCGAGGTGTTCCTTTTTAATAACATTATTCCCTGCATAATTTTATCTTAAAGAATTCTACATAGATAATAGGTATCATAAAATCATTTGTGCCCATTTGCTTTGTAAACCATACTGTCTGCCTCTGCAGAGCTGGTATGAAATCCGAAGGAACTCACCTTTGTAAGAATAGGTGTATTATTACTCTATGAGGAAAAAAATATTTCCTCATTCTGCCTTATATTAAATGACCCTTATTTCCTGAATGCCTCTGATAATTGTTGCCAGGCTTGCTGTGAGCATTTCAGTCATCCTGGACCTACAAAGATGAAAAACCCAGTGATCAAAGTGGTAGCATTTGTCAGGTTTGGTTTTATTTTTAACACACAATGCAGATATTTTGAGATGTCTCATATGCGGTCTTTGCTCATGAAGCTGTGGTAGATCTACCATTGAACAAATGCTGATATTTCCCAAATTATGGATATAAATTTTTAAAGGCAATCACTGATAAATTTGATTGCCTGATGGACTCTGTGTTCTGCTTTTATTAGACTCTTAGAGAGAACCATCCGGTCGGCAGTAGAACAGCACCTTTTTGATGTAAACGGCTCTGGAGGCCAAAGTTCAGAGGACTCGGAATCTGGAGCATCATCAGCATCTTCGGCCACATCTGCCAGACAGCGCCGCCGTCAGTCCAAAGAGCAGGATGAAGTTCGACGTGGCAGAGATGTGTGAGTTGGCATTAGAGCGTCTTATTTGCATTTTCTCCTCTCCTTTTAAAAATATACACCTGAGGGCGCCTGGGTGGTTCAGTTGGTTAAGCGACTGCCTTCGGCTCAGGTCATGATCCTGGAGTCCCGGGATCGAGTCCCGCATCGGGCTCCCTGCTCGGCAGGGGGTCTGCTTCTCCCTCTGCCCTCTTCCCTCTCATGTGCTCTCTCATTCTCTCTCTCTCAAATAAATAAATAAAATCTTAAAAAATATATATATATACACCTGAATTAGTCACTGTGTTATAACCATTCCCATTTCAGTATTCCCGTTAAAACTTCAAAAATTCCTTTTTGACTATTCTAAACTTAGCTAACATTTGGAAATTTGTAGGTGACTAAATGAACATTTCAGTTTTGTCTGGATGTTCTGTGTTGTCTAGATGTATGTTGTAGGAAGCCACCTCTGATTTAATACACTTTAGGGCTTCCTCATGAATATCTTCTTCAGAGGGATGCTGGACCACTGGAGGAGAAAATTGCCATATGCCTGTCCAGAGGCGGGGTTTTTTTTTTTAAGATTTATTTATTTATTTGAGAGAGGGAGAGTGTGTGCGTGCGTGTTTTGCGGGTGGGGGTGGGGAGTAGAGAGAAGGAGAATCCCAAGCAGACTCCATGCTGAGCAGAGATCCTGACCTGAGCGGAAACCAAGAGTCAGGCGGCCAACCGACTGCACCACCCAGGCACCACAGAGGTGGTTTTTTTCTTGTTAGACAACATTCATTTGGTTGTTAGACTACCTTATAAAATCAACAGATTTCCGTACTGTATTGGCCTGATGCAGTACTAGAATATCACTGTAATACTTTCACAGTTGACTACATTTTAGTATCAGAAAGGTTGAGCTTAAGTCTAATCGAAGAGGAAATGCTTAAGTTCTTTATTATCATAATGACTAGTTTTAAGCTTTCCCACAGCATGAATTTCAAGAATAGTATCATAAGAAACTTTATTCTTCATTAGAGGACTTGATAAAATACAAATAAACAATTATCATCTATATTTTTCAATAATCATCATTTAAATGCCAAGGAAAATAAGGTTATATTCATATATTTTTCCTGAAAGTTTTAAGTTTATTTGTATCTACTATAGCATTTAGTCTCCATAAAGTTATTGTTTTGAACTCCTTATTAAATGTCAAAGACTAAATCAGACCCTAGTTCCCCTCATTCCTTTTCACCTGGATTCATAATGCACATCAAAATCTTAGGGGGGAAAAAGGGAAACTTCTTTTTGCTTAAAGAAAGACGCAAAAGATAAGTGGTATAAATAAATACCATGCTGCATATCATGAAGATGTTTAAGGGCCATACTAGCAAATGTAATTTTAGGAATAAAACAGTATCAGTGGTATACACCACTGACTTTTTAAGTGATATAAGGAGCACTTTAAAAAAAAATTTTGTCTTGTGGCTGGTGGATAGGAGGGAGTGCTATAATATTACCTTTACAAAATAGGAAAATTATAATACAGGAGGTATTTACATTTAAAATTAGCTACTGACTAAGCTTTATAGAAAACGTTTAGGAGTAAAATTAACTTGTGTACTGCCTATATTGTGTTACACAGCAAGTACAAATTATTTAATACTGTTCTTATCCCCCGTCTCATTTTTTGCCAAATAGTATGTAGCAACACATTGCATTTTTAAAATATCCTTAGTGTGTCACGACATGTGTCACGACATCATGCTTTCCACCCTCTTTGTTTGGACAGAGGGATAGCAAGCAGAGGTTGGAAGTGGTAGTAAGACAAGAGAGAGAACAGAGCAGATGGTTGTAGTGTTGACGGTTGATGCTGCATGGCGGCAGGGCAGGGGACAGCACAGTGGGGTAAGGTCCAAATGAACAGGCGGTAGAAAAATATGAAACATAGAGTAACCTTTCCTGCAGAATTTAGAGTTTCCCACAGCCAGGCATGTTTCTAAGTTCTCTTGATCATACTTTACTGTCAATATCAGGAGAACAAAAGGAGATGAAGAACGGTAGAGACCGACTAATCTAACAACCTGTGAAACTCTAGCCTTCCCCTTATTTTTTCTTCTCTGGTATTTCCTTCACTGCTCATGCTGGTCACTCATTGTGGTCAGACTAGAGTTGGACACTGAGTGAGTAAATCTCGGGCTGAAAACTGTGTGTGGCCACGGTAACTTATAGTCCCACATTACTCTTTTTCCTTGGTGCGTCGTCTGGGCACACAGAAGTCCCCTTCCTATGCTCCCTGTTGGCCTCAGCCTCCTAGGCCTCTGGTGTCTTCCTAACCTGACATGCTGGGTAATTAACATGTCTTGATAGTCCTTTCTCTTCAACTCCCAGTCCACACTGCACTGCCTCTCTGAGCTCGCCAGGTCTGGGGAGGAGCAAGGCCCTTATCTCTCAGGGTCCCAGACCTACTACTTTTGTCCCCATGAAGGTTCTCTCCAGTATGTCCCCTGGAGATATACCGACATATCACTGATTGGGCAAAGGTTGAGAATCATTATCATAGCCTATAGTAAGTATGTTTTTCTTAGTATATACCTATGCATAATTGATTCATTTATCAAAGATTTTCATCAGGCTTTGCTTAAAAAACAAAGATTAAGCTAGACTTTATTCTATTCAAAACTATTAACCTTATGGAATGGTTTAAGAGTTTTTAAAAATTAGAAATTAATTGTATTTTTGTCTATTATTTTGCCTCCTAACAACTTAAAGCTGCAACCAAGTAAAAAAATATATCCTTGAAGTCAATGATAACCATACTTCAGGGTGAGATTAAAGTCATTAAGTCTGTACTAAAGTCATCATGGCAGATTTTTTGAAATAAATACAGAAGATAGACTAAGACTTACAAATATTTCATTTTAGTGCAAATGATTTCTTATTTTGTCTAAATCTATAAGGAAACATTATCAGGCTTATATTATTATTGCTACTATAAAAATATCAAAGTTTAAGCAATACATTCAATATGTGAAGGGGTTCAGTTTAATTCATTTATTTAAAAAACTTGCCATCTGCCAGGTGCATGGAAATGAGGACCCTTGGTGATGGGTATATGGAAATTTGTTGTGATAGTGTCTCCTCTGTATGTGTGAAAATTTGGTAATAAATATTTTCTTAAAAGCAAAGGGTAATTTAGGTGAAAGTGGTTTCAGCTGTCCAAAACACAATAAACTGGAATTTGTACATATTTATTATAGAAATACTATATTAAATTCCTACTGCAAAGTAAGAAAAAAAAAAGAAAAGAAAAGACAAAAAAAACCCAGTGCTGTATCAGGGGAATGATAAATAGTTGAGTATTGCCAGAACATTAAGTGTGTTTGTAGGGGTGGTGAGGAAGAAACTTCAGATAAAGTGAGAGGCCCCAGAAATCTGAATTCATGTCAGATTTCAGTGATGTCAAGTATGACTGAAACCTGTCAGAATGTTGCAGGCAGGAATTATATACCAGCGCTCCTCATAGTCACATATGTATCGTGGCTGAAAGGTGTTGACTCGCACAAAAGCAGAGACTTTTTCTTTTATGTAAGAGAACAGGATTTCCACATGAGCATGCTGAACAGATTTCCATGTATTTGTTTTGACAGCTTTTATTCCAGTCATTCATTCACTATTCAAAAAGATTATAAAATAAACTTTGTGTTTTATAAAAGATTATAAAATAAACTTTGTGATTATAAAATAAACTGGTTTTTAGCTTTTGTATTAGTCTACTAGGGCTGCCATAACAAAATACTACAGTCTGGGTGGCTTAAACAACAGGGATTTATTTCCTCATAGTTCTGGAGGCTGGAAGTCCAAGATCAAGGTACAGACAGGGTTGGCTTCTGATGAGACCTTTCTCTTGCACTTGCAGATGGGTCCTTCTCACCGTGTCCTCCCATGGCCTTTCCTCCATGTGTGTACTCTCCTGTTGTCTCCTCCTTTTCTTTTCTTTTTTTCTTCTAAGATTTTATCTATTTATTTCTCAGCAAGCAAACACAAGCAGGGGGTAGTGGGAGAAGGAGAAGCAGGCTCCCTGCTGAGCAGGGAGGCTGATGTGGGACTCGATCCCAGGACCCTGGGATCATGACCTGAGCCGAAGGCAGTCAACCAGCTGAGCTACCGAGGCATCCCTCCTCCTCTTATTAGAACACCAGTTCTGTTGGATTACAGCACCCACCCTTATGGCCTCATTGAGCCCTAATTACCTCTGAAAAGGCCCTGTCTCCAAAAACAGTCATATTAACAGAAGGTGAGGGCTTCAGCAGAGGAATTTGGGGGGAAACACAATTCTGTCATAACAGCTTTCAAACATAAAAACCCCTCAATAAAAAATTATAAAGGATGTATACCCTAGGAGTTAGGAGAAGTATAAAGAGTGATAGACAGAATTTATATAGTAAAATAATTAATTCTGAAGTTGAGACCAAACTCATCCAGCCATCTGTGAAAGGCAACACTCAGTGCGTGGAGGGGAGATTGAAGAGTATCTGCATAAGTATGTGTGCCAGCATGTTAGTCCCTGTCCACTGTTCCTCTGCCTTCTATGATTTTATACTGAGGGTATTTCTAATATTTGTTGCATAAATCTTTTCTATAATTTTACTAAGTGTATATTTTTACATTAAAAGTTATATAAAATAAGACTAAATTAAATATGGAGTGCTAAAAATCACCAAAGATAGTGTAACTTTGAAAATATTAGGATAATGTTTAATTCATAATTTTGCCTCCATGATAAGCCCATCTAAGATAGGATGTGAATTTAGATGGCAGAATAAATATTTAACATTATCTTTCGTTTTTGTATGTGGTTGAACTGACGGTAAAATATAGTCATCTGTTTTGCTCTTTAGAGCTCATTTATTTCAAAATAGAACTGTAAGTGTTTAGGGAGTTACCTTAACTCAGTCATACCGTAAGGGAAAGATCTCATTCATTTGTACCTTGGCACGCCATGATGCTACCCTGATGGCTTAATTTGTCTTGTGATGTAGTAAAAAAACAAACAGTTTGCTAAGTAATTTAATTTTATGGAAACTCCTTAAGGGAATGTTTAAAATACTCAGAACAATTTCAAGAATATTAAGTGAATTAAATTCTGTAGTTATGACATTCATATCTGCTTCTAAAACTAAATCAGAACAGGGCACCTGGGTGGCTCAGTTGGTTAAGCATCTGCCTTCAGCTCAGGTCATGATCCCAGGGTCCTGGGATTGAGTCCCGCATCGGGCTCCCTGCTCAGCAGAGAGCCTGCTTCTCCCTCTCCCACTCCTGCTGCTTGTGCTTGCTTGCTGAGAAATAAATAGATAAAATTTTTTTTTTTTTTAAAGATTTTATTTATTTATTTGAGAGAGAGGATGAGAGGAGAGAGAGAGAGAGAGAGCACATGAGAGGGGGGAGGGTCAGAGGGAGAAGCAGACTCCCTGCTGAGCAGGGAGCCTGATGCGGAACTCGATCCCGGGACTCCAGGATCATGACCTGAGCTGAAGGCAGTTGCTCAACCAACTGAGCCACCCAGGTGCCCAATAGATAAAATCTTAAAAGAAAAATAAACTAAGTCATGAAGGACATCCAGTTAGAAGTTTACATCCTGAAACTCCTTGTACTGGGAAGTAACAAATCCATACTTTAGTTAAAATGCTTTGTATTCCACAGTTTTTTTTAATTTATACTATTTCTACCAAGATTATCACATGCAGTCAGAGTTTGTTATTAATGCTTCTCTACTATGCTAAAATGTCTTTATCATTTGGGAAAATCAGTTTGTCCCATTCAAGAGAAAAAGACATCATACTTCCTTTTCAGATTTTTGTCCACACATTGTATTATAAAATGTGTGTATAGCAGGGGAGCCTGGGTGGCTCAGTCAGTTAAGTGTCCAACTCTTGATTTCAGCTCAGGTCATGATCTCAGGGTCATGAGATCAAGCCCTGCATCAGGCTCTGCACTTAGCGGGGAGTCTGCTTAAGATTCTCTCTCTCCCTCTACCCCCTGCCCCAGTGCACACACGCATTCTCTCTCCCTCCCTCTCTCTCTAAAACAAATAAGTAAATCTTTAAAATAAAATCAAGTATGTGTGTGTATGTAATCTGTTAATAATGGGAAATTTTTTTGTAAGATTGCACTGTTTTCCCTGTTTGAATACAAATTACTTTTGGTACAACCTCAAAAGTTGTTCATTGGTAGAAACACAGTCCTTGCCAGTTTGCCTCTAGGAATAATTTCTCTTGTAATGTGATTTATTTGGCACCAAGTGGTCTCAGGAGTAGCACTGTGCTCAGATTTTGATCGAAGAGGCAAACTGGAATTTCTGGGCACTCTTCTGATTTCCCATGTGATGCAGTGACAGTGTCATTAAAATATCCCTTTTACCTTTTAAAATTAAGGCTTTTTTTTTTTTAATTCAAGGGGACTTATCAACAAAGAAAATATTCCTTCTGGGTTCAACAACCTTGAAGATTGTATTTTGAATGCTCAGGAAGTGGAAAAATTGTATGAAAGTACTTCTGGTTATATTGGAGAAAGGGGCAAACCTAAACGTCAGAAATCCAGTTCCAAACTTTCTGAACTCAATGAAAATCAAGATGGTCTTGTGGTAAGTGAAAATTCTATAAAACTTTTACTTGTAACCAATTAGGAAATATCACATCTCTTTCCCTTGCTTTGTAAAAAAATAATAATTTCAATCATGAGCTTCATAGGACTATAGGATATGAGTTGTAAAGGCCTCAGAGCTCCTAAGTGTACACACTTGTATTTCTTTTTAGTAAATATAAAAATCAAAGCTGAGAAAGATTATATTCTGTCAAAAGAAACAGAGACAGCACACTCTGATTGCCATGTTATTCAAATGATTTTTATCTCATTCTTTTGAGTATTTTTAAATTGTATTTTTGGAATATTGTCATTAAAGCATTTTTTATTTTCCCCCATTCTCATATATATGATGTAAAAAAAAAAAAATTAATGAACTTAAAGCCAGGTGAAAGAAAACTACATAGGGAAAGAGGATCAACTATCTTTGTGTACAGAAATCTCTGTGTTCAGAAATTTAGTTCAAATCTATACTCTATAAAGTATTTTCTTCCAAATTAATCAGAAACAAAAACAAAAAAGATCAGCCTCTTACAGAGTTACCTCAGACCTGAACCCTGGATCACTGATTTGATATATAAATTATTACAAGTGGTTTCTGTCAATAACAAATATTTATTCAGTTTAACTATTAGTATACATCCTCCTCTTCTGCGTATGCTTCATTTTCTCTGAGAAGTGAGAACCAAAGCCTGTCCGCTTAGTCCCTTTAGTTGTAAAAAATTTAACAACAACGAAAACTAAAGATAAAATTTATAACATAACATGAGCTGGAGTCCCCCTAATGAAAAAAAGTAATGCCCATTCTTACTGTTCAATGTGTAAATGCTCCGATCTATTCGATCTCTGACAAGCTTTTAGCTCCATGTTGGGTTTTCTCTACATTTAGCAAACTTACAGGCCATCTGTTTTCCATTGTCAATTTCGGCATGTGCTTAGAGAAGATTCCCAGTTTGGCCCTAAATAAAATATACATAAATGCAAATCCAGGGAAACATGTTAATTTCTTTTTTTCCCTCCAAATATCTTTTTTTTTTAGATATTTATTTATTTATTTATTTATTTAAGAGAAGGGGGAGCGGCAGGCAGAGGGAGAGGGAGAAGCAGACTCCCTGCTGAGCAGGGAGCCCATCGCAGCGCCCGATCCCAGAACCCTGAGATTATGACCTGAGCCGAAGGCAGACGTTTAAGCAACTGAGCCACCCAGACGCCCCTTTCCCTCCAAATGTCTTGATAATCTGTTTCTAGAAGTAAAGTAATCAGCTAGAAGGGACAGAAGCAATCACCTACCGCAGGCCCATGTCTTATACACTCCAAATAAAGAATGTAAGCTTTGGAACCATTGCACATTAAATGTTTTTAACATTAACTTAATTCTTATTTGGAGGAAAGTAAATTTTTAAATAAAATAATTGGTGCTAATTTCATTAGCACTTTATTTGGCTCACAATTTGCTTATCTGCCAAAGAGATTTACAATTCCACAGATTTACAGATTCAAAATTTACAGATTTAAAATTCCAACAGTTGACTTCTTTGGAAAGATGTGTTTCTCTAGCTCAATCCCTTTTTATATGAATTTAACCCATTAATTTTTTTTTCCCACCAGGAATGGTGTCTTAAATTAGCTAGATGGTAATAACTAATAAAAGTGAAAAAGTACATTTAGTCCTTAGAATATGTGTTTGACTGATAAAACTATAGACATGTTCTCTGTTTAAAAATGTTTGGATGGGAGAGCCTAATGCTATCGGGTCTTTTTTATGTGAAAGGATTTGCCCTCACCTTAGTTGTCAGTTTCCTCATTCCAGGATTGTGAATGTCACCTATTAACATAAGTGAGCTAAGTGGACCATGTCTTTGTTGCAGTGAATAATTTAAAAACCTGCCAGCACAACTCAGAAGAAAAACTTCCTCATCTAAAGTGAGGGTGTTCTCTAAGAGCTTTTCTAACTGTCATATTCCATAAATTTTTAAATCTAATCTTCACAGGTAACCACAAAGCAAAGAGCCAGGGAACATAGCAAGTATTTAGACTACATCTTAAAAGTTGTGTATCTTAACTTGTCCCTTATGTTTAACCTCCTAATTTTACTTTTCCCAACTCTCCCCCAACACCTTTTCCTACTCCATTTCAAGTTCTTTACACCCTGACTAAACATTTATTTCTATAGCTGGGTCAGCAAGGGAGGAGGGAGAATTATATGTAATTATATGCCTTTATGTGCCAGGAAATATTTCAGATCCTGGAGATAAAGCAGTGAGAAAAACAGGCAAAGGTAGCTGTCCTCCTGGAGCTTATATCCTAGTAGGGGAAACAGACAATAATCAAGTAAGTAAAACACAAAATATATTGGATAGTGATAACTACTAGGAAGAAACATAAAGCAGGAAATAGGAATTATGAGGGGGCAGGTGATGCAATTTTAAATAGTGTGGTCTGGGAAGACCTTCTGAGAATTTGACATTTGAGTGTAAAGATTTAGAGAAAGTAAGGAAGCAGGCTATACTATGATAGTAGGTGCAAAGGCCCTGAGACAGTCATTTATCTAGAACATTCAAGAAAACACAAAGACCCCATTGTGATTGGAAGAGAGTGAGCAAAATTAAAGAGGTAATGGGAGAGGGTGGGCAGATGAAGTAGGACCTCATAGATCATTGTGTGGACTCTGCCTTTATTCTGGGTGAGATGAGAATCCAGTTGAGGGTTCTAGGTAGAAAAGTGATCTGGCTTACTGAAATTGGTTCAACTACTATGTTGAGAATAGACAGTAAGCAGGCAGGGGCAGAAACAGGGAACCCAGTTAAGAAGCTATTGCAATAATCTAGATTTGAGATGATGATGGTTTGAACTAAGGTCATACCAGAGCCAGCATATATTTCCTTGCAGGCTGTACAATGCACTACTCTAGGGGGCACTGTTCACATGACTAAACTCCTTCCGGAGTGGTACATTGCAGTAGTCATGACATAGTGAACAGATTCTGCATGTGTTTTGAAAGTAGAATTGACAGGATTTCTTGGCATACCTGTGTGGTGTGAAAGTAATCAAGGAGTCAAAGATGACTCCAAGGTTTTTGGCCTGAGCAACTAGATTTGCGTTGCCAGTTTAGCTGAGATAGAGAAGACAGACAGAAGTTTGGGTTCAGTTTTGGACATAAGATTAAGCTGCCCATTAGATATCTAAGAGAGCAGGCAAGGAAGCAAGTGGATTCCTGGGCCAAGAGTTCAGGGAGGAAATCCTGGCTGTAGATACAGTGTGGGAGTCATCAGCAGATGGAGGATATTTAAAGCCAGTATACTGGGTGAGATGACCAAGGGAGTGAATGTGGACAGGAAAGAGAAGTTGCCTCAGGGACGGTGGGCCCTGAGACACACCAACATTTAGAGGGTGGGGAAATGAGAAGGTACCAGGGGAGGAGACTTATGAGACTAGCAAAGTAGAAGACAGACAAAGTGAGTTTAGTGCCTTGGCAGCCAAGTGAACAGTGTCTCAAGGAGCAGAAAAGGTCAGATGATGGGTTAAGCAGAAAACTGAGAGTTTGACCATTGGGATTAGCAAGCTGGATATCACTTAGTAAAAGCAGTTTGGGTGAAGAGATGGGAACAAAAGCCATTTTCCAGAGAAAGTGAGAGGAGAGTAACTGAACACAGTGACTAATAATTTCACACGGATCACACCAGCCCACAATACAACTGAGGAGAATATGCTGTAGACCAAAAAAAGCATCTTGCAGATTTGGAATCTCTAAAGCAGGAACTGTCTGGGCATGTTCCCCTTTGTGTTTTCACCTCTTGAGACTGTCATGACCAGCAGAGACCAAGAGACTACAGATAATTCAGAGTTTAAAAATTAGGGGTAGTAAGTGACATTAGAGTGTTCTGCCTTATCTATAATTATTGCCACAGTCCCAAACTTTTCTTCCCTCTTTAAACTCTTGGCTCATACCTGTGCCCATCAGTCATTCTCAGAGGAAAACCTTGTCTCCTGATTTACTTTGAAGAACTAAGATACGCAGCTTGTTTCAGCAACCGCCCTCACTCCTGCTTCAAAATGTCTCTAGAACTCTACTCATTTTCTTTTCTCACCTGCTCAAATGATAACATGATTTTTCTAATTTCTCAGGTTAACCTCTAAAATCTAGAAGTATCTTTGTAAATTCTACCTTCTACATCCATCTCCCCACCCTGCACCCATGTACGTGTACAAACATATACATACACTCACACACTTTTCCTTTTCATTGGCTTCCTCTTCTTTGGCTCATTTCTATTGGCCTAGAAAAAGGCTCCATCTCTAAAAGCTTTCTCTCCTGGGCACGATTTAACAGCTTGAATCAAAAGTCATAAGTCAGTCATGCATTTTATCCAGTAATCATACTTCTGCCACTCGGTTCTACTTAAATATGCAAAAAATAATGGTATTAATTTGCTCACCACAAGGCTTTCTTTAATCATGGAAAATTAGAAGCAATTTAAATGTTCAAAAGTGCGAGATCAGATAAGCAACATTTGTAGGTCAATTCAATAAAATTAGGATTGTGAAGACTTTGTAATAAAATAAAAACCATTGACAAGTTATATTTTAAGTGCTTTGTATATATTATCAATTTTAATCCTCCCAATAATCCAGAAGGTGGATTTATTATTATTATAATTCTCATTCTAAACATGAGGAGAATGAGGCAGAGGAGAGTAAACAACTTGTCCAAGGTCACACGTAAGTGGTGGAGGTGGGGTTCCCCTATATCCTCCCTCAATATTAAAGTAGATTATAAAGCAGTATACACAGTGTGTACATTCATACATGTATACATATATATGTGTATATATTATATAAGTGTATGTGTGTGTATATAAATTATATGTACAAATGTTCATTCCCAGGAAAAAAGACTGCAAGAAAATGTGCCTAAAGTGATTGTATGATGGTGGTAATAGTGGTATTAGAAGCAACTGTTACTCTATCCTCTGTTCTTCAAATGTTCTCCATGTGACATTA